TTTTTCCCATACCGTAACACAAACCCGCCAAGCCAGACATGAAAGAGCTGAACTAACCGACCTTTTATTTTCCCATACTGTAACATAAACCTGACAAGCTAGACATGGTAAAACTGAACTAAACGACTTTTTATTTTCCCATATCGTAACACAAACCTGACGAGCCAGACATGAAATAACTGAACTAACCAACTGTTTATTTTTCCCATACCGTAACACAAACCCGCCAAGCCAGACATGAAAGAGCTGAACTAACCGACCTTTTATTTTCCCATACCGTAACATAAACCTGACAAGCTAGACATGGTAAAACTGAACTAACCGACTTTTTTTTTTCCCATACCATAACACAAACCTGACGAGCCAGACATGAAATAACTGAATCAACCAACTGTCACTGTTTATTTTTCCCATACCGTAACACAAACCCGCCAAGCCAGACATGAAAGAGCTGAACTAACCGACTTTTTATTTTTCCATACCGTAACATGAACCTGACAAGCTAGACATGGTAAAACTGAACTACCCGACTTTTTTTTTTCCCATACCGTAACACAAACCTGACGAGCCAGACATGATTTAACTGAACTAACCGTTTATTTTCCCCATACCGTAACACAAACCCGCCAAGCCAGACATGAAAGAGCTGAACTAACCGACTTTTTATTTTTCCATACCGTAACATGAACCTGACAAGCTAGACATGGTAAAACTGAACTACCCGACTTTTTTTTTTCCCATACCGTAACACAAACCTGACGAGCCAGACATGATTTAACTGAACTAACCGTTTATTTTCCCCATACCGTAACACAAACCCGCCAAGCCAGACATGAAAGAGCTGAACTAACCGTCCTTTTATTTTCCCATAGAGTAACACAAACATGACAACAGACATGAAATAATTGAATTCAATGAAATATATTTCAAGACGCTTACCATTTTTTTTTTTCTTCTTTTTCACAGTTAAAAACGCAAAGGTAAGCAAGAAGAGTAGGTTATTGACCACCTTACACACCAACACGAAAATGGAAACGAAGCATAAATATAGACACAGCAATCCCTTTGGTCAACTGTGCGATGCACATGAAGGTTGGGGACTCGTGGTGAGATAACCGTAAAACATTACCGGTTCCCATGGGGCGGTGGGAATCTGGTCAGACACTATCCTGAATTCTACGCAAGGAGAGGGGTGGATAATGCAAGACAAAATGTCAGACCTAACATACTCAAGAACCTTGTTTTCAAATGACCGACCAAATGACCCAAAAGAGAAGGAGCACCAAGCGGTACGTAGATATCTTGAAGCTTGAAGGATAGACGCCGGTACAAAGTGTGGGGGGATTGTTGGTCAAGCTTTCGGCAGCGAAGGTCTACTCGGGAGCGTTAGTGGGGTAGCTACCCATGGTGTACGGTACAAACGTTGATGACCGTAACTCATTTATCACCCTGGGTCGACTTAGACCGCCATCAGGGAAGGTAGTGCTCTCTGGCGTCTACGAGGAGGAGATTTTTATGCCTGTATGTCATAAAAATCAAGGAAGAGATAAACATCCCGATGTGTGAGTGAGACCTTCTGTTATGCAAGCCACCCTTGAACCCTACATAGGGAAAATGACCTCCCCGGAGGAAAGTACCCAGTACAGCAGCTGGGGCAAGTAGAGAGAAGATACGGTCGTGGGACGCTTGGGTTGGTTACCATGCAGATCGCCTGGCACAAACTTGGGGTACTTGTGCTAAGGGTGTTGAACTTGGCTCCAGGCTATGAGCCCATGTTGGAGGCACTTTTTAGTGTCGGTGAGCCGGCAAAAGAATTGAAAGACACCAGACCCTCAACAAGTACTAGGATTGGGAAGTCCCAGTAATTTGAACTTCAAACAAAAACAACGAGATAGTCTCGAAAGAGATAAGGAGGGAGACGACAAGGCACAAAGGGTGGAGAAGGAGAGAATGGAAAGGTGCAGTACTGGTAGTGTTGATATTTGGGGTCAATAACGACATGACAAGGTTGGAGTTCAAAAGTATATGTGAAGAAGTAGGATTATATTGCTTCGCACGGGGGGGGGTAGAAAGGGAAGGAAACCACTTTAGAATCACGTTTGGAAGGAGAGTAAGCGCAGAATGGGAAAGACTGGAAGTAGAGAAGATGTCGGCGTGGGTGAGGAGACTAGGTTGGAGGGTGTGCATAGCAAATAGGATCCAGGAAGTAAGGCGTAGCCCAAGGCTGGCTGAAAACAAAGGGGGGCAGGAGGTTCGAAAGGATCAAAAGGGAAATCAAGCCAAAGTAGGGGAAGGGGGGAGCAGGGAAAGGATAAGGCAGAAGGGAAGGCGAACGAGGGACAGAAGGAATCCTGAAAGGCACGGGAAAGTAGAAAGTAGGAGTAAGGAAATCAGACTAGGGTCTTGGAATGTATGCGGGTTTGCCACAGATGAGCGTAAAAGACTCGAAATTGCCGAGCAAGCAGCCGAAAAAGACCTGGACATAGTCGGAGTCCAAGAGTCGTGGGAAAGGACGGGGGAGAAATAGGAAAAGAAGTGGGAAGCTACATATATATGGATAGGTAAAATGCGGAGAGGACAGAAAATCAAGAGTAGAGGGGAGGGGGGAGTTGGATTCTTAGTCAAGGAGCACATGTGCGACGTAATTGAGGTGATCAGCGACACCAAATTCAACGAAAGCATGTGGATAAGGGTACCAGGGGAACGGGGAAGGAAGGACTTGTTCGTAGGAAATGTATATATACCACCAGAGTCGAAGAAAATGGTGAAGGACATCAAGATAGGGTTCGAGGAGGTAGCAGCGGATGTACAAAACTTCAAGAGAAAGGGAGGAGTAGTTTTAGTTGGGGACTTAAGTGCAAGAATCGGGCGAACCACGAACCCACACGGAGCCATCGGGCAATATGGGGAGGGAGCCACGAACAAAAACGGGGAAGAAATGCTGAGGATCCTTGACAGTAGCGAGATGAAGGTGTTGAACGATAGAGTACGAAAGGCAGAACCGGAATGGACTAGGCAGTGTTTCAAAAAAGGAGAACGCTCCATCCTTGACTACATAGTCGTAGAGAATG